ACAGAATGAGAACATGGATCCATCATGCCTTGTTACCACTGTACAGGCTGGTGGTGGTGGTGTAATGGTGTGGGGGATGTTTTCTTGGCACACTTTAGGCCCCTTAGTGCCAATTGGGCATCGTTTAAATGCCACGGCCTACCTGAGCATTGTTTCTGACCATGTCCATCCCTTTATGACCACCATGTACCCATCCTCTGACGGCTACTTCCAGCAGGATAATGCACCATGTCACAAAGCTCGAACCATTTCAAACTGGTTTCTTGAACATGACAATGAGTTCACTGTACTACAATGGCCCCCACAGTCACCAGATCTCAACCCAATAGAGCATCTTTGGGATGTGGTGGTACGGGAGCTTCGTGCCCTGGATGTGCATCCCACAAATCTCCATCAACTGCAAGATGCTATCCTATCAATATGGGCCAACATTTCTAAAGAATGCTTTCAGCACCTTGTTGAATCAATGCCACGTAGAATTAAGGCAGTTCTGATGGCGAAAGGGGGTCAAACACCGTATTAGTATGGTGTTGCTTAAATCACCTTTCTTTCCCATTCTGACATTCAGTTTGGAGTTCAGGAGATTGTCTTGACCAGGACCACACCCCTAAATGCATTGAAGCCACTGCCATGTGATTGGTTGATTAGATAATTGCATTAATGAGAAATTGAACAGGTGTTCCTAATAATCCTTTAGGTGATTGTATATTTCATTATTTATTGACACATTTAATGAATGTTTTAATGAAAGATTTCTTGAAGGATTAATCGCAAGATGTATTGAAAGATAGATCGACAATATGAAGAATTCCAGTATGCAAATTAGGTATGCACTGATTGGCTTGTGAAAGCACAGTAGGAGTGTTCAAGCCGTGGACCTTCAGTCGTATTATTTTGATTTCTGTGCATGGAAGAAAGTGTTTATGATTTCATGGACAAAATGTAACTGTAGTTTGTGGCACAGAATGTATTTTATGCACGAAAATGAGCATAACACACCTCATATTTGTGGAAGTTTAGCAGATGTTCACCTCCCAGTCACAAAATTTCCCAGTTATCTGGGTAAGATGCAAACCCCAGCAGAACACAGAAAGCACATGTCTTTCTAAATTTGTAAGGCATTGTGCCATTTTATCTGGTTAGATTTATTTAATTTAATCTTGTATTGTATGTAAAATTACACACGTTATGCTCTTTTGAAAGCATGTTTCTATTCATCCATTTTCCATACCCATTTGTCTTATGCAGGGTTGCCGGAGTCTGGCACCTATACTGGAAACAACAAACGCAAGGTCGGGAATAAACTGGAACGTAGGAGTATTAGCTTAATTCCATTTAGCTTAATTTCTGCCCCATAAAATAGACCTTTGCCTTTAAAGAATTAAGTTGTGCCCCCATACCAAACTGTACCCTACGCTTGTGGAATAATACAGTGGTACCTCAGTTCTCGAACTCATTAGAACTCGAATTTCTTAAAAGTCGAACCAACCAGTTCGAAAAAAAAAAAAAAAATGACCTAGAACTCGATCTGAATCTCAGAAGCTGAACCGTGAATGCCGACATTAGATAACTAGCATGCCTGGGGAAATGAGTCACGCAGCACGTCTCTCAGCAGAAACAGCATCGTGCATGTTTACACTAGCTGAATACATATATTTAGACAGTAAAAATATATTTAGACAATGATAGACAGTAACAGTAATAATTATTATATAATAAAATACATTTAAAAATAAAGATTTCTTATTAATTATTTTAATATCATTAATAATAAACCATTGATACATTTAATTATAATAATATTGTCGTGCGAGTGGGACGGAGACAAAGGCGCAGACGTCAGGGTATCGGGGAATACGGGTTTTAATTACAGGTAAAGCAGGCAAAACGCAGACGGACAATACAATGACTGGCCTGGGGAAACAAACTGAAACGTGGACGAAATACAGGGGATCCCACACGAGGTTAAGGAGGGGGGCGTGGCACACGGAAGGAGCGGACAATCACATTTTTTTTTTTTTGCTTTACACATTGTTTGGATACATTTATTTTCTCACTTTACAGATTAGTGTTTTGATAAATGTGCTTAGATTTCTTTAGTACAGTATATGCTCTTCTTGTTATATCCTGTTCATTTTGTTTTTAAATGCTAAAACAAAATATATTTAGGTGTATTTTTTTGGGGCCGGGAACAAATTAATGGGTTTTCCATAATTTCTTATGGGAAAAATTCAACCAGAACTCAAACTTTTTAGGATTTGATCCTGAGTTTTGAACAGATTAAATTCGAGTTCTGATCGAGGTACCCCTGTATTTGCAATTTCTGAGACAAAAGAGACAAGAGTTTTGACGACTGTTTCTATTTAACGAGTATGTATTTCAAAAATGTAAACATTATCGCAGAATTTGACAGAAATCTTCAATTGATATATTCTATTTGTTTATGCCAGAATGATGACAGGGGGTGCGTACCGTGCCTATCCAGCCTTTCTCCTCCTAGTAGTATCTGCGGCACGGCACAACGTATTTTCGTGTTTCCTTGGAACAGGCTTTTAACAATAAATTATATGTATTTTAAATTCTTGTGCATAACAGCACACGTTGTGATTTTATTTTTAATTGCTGAAAACTGAACTTAAGAATGATGTTGAGATTGAAAATACAGTAAACTGATGGTCTATTTGTTGTGCGAATTTTAATTTCTTACAATACATGGAAACAACTGGTTGTCACCCGTATGCTCGAAACTGCAACGAATCGTTACCAACTGTCGCAGGATGTATAGATAAGTAAGTGGACTCCTAATCGTGAGCACAGGATGCCTTTTAACGACTCACGGGATTTCACGATCATGGGGAACACAGATCTTAAACGTAAATGTTTCTGAATTTCACATAGAAAAAAAATAACAGGGGGTGTGTGTCACGATCCGTGTGGGCGAGCGAGCGGGGAATCAGGATCGGTCACACGGATATCCAAGAAAACAGGGTTTAATTCCACAAAAGGGCAGGCAACAACACATTGACACTACATCAATGACCGGACTCAGGAAACAAACGGAAACGCGGACTAAATACAATGGACTAATTTACAACGATCAGGAACAGCTGGTAAACACGGGGAATCCACATGGGGTTAACGAGGGGGCGTGGCACACGAGAGGACCAGACGATCGGGACATGACAGTGTGTAAGTACGTAATTTTTTTTTATTACGAATGTCGTATTTCTTTATTTGTTATTAATGTTATTGATTAAAAACAAAGCCATTGAGAAAGTTTAAAATTTTTCTATTTATAAGTAATATCTTATAGTCCCAATCAGTAACTGGTGCAAGTTTGGTGAATGTTAGATTTTCCCAGCCAGAGTTAGACAGGGGGGTATTCTGCGGCAAGGTGGCCTGCTATAAAATGTCCCCCTAGCTAGAATCTTGTCGTTATGGCCCAGCCCAAAGTAATTTGTACAGCACAAATAAGGGACAGATTTCGGTAACTGGTGTAAGTTTGGTGCATGTAGGATTTTCCCAGAAAGAGTATATGGCTTGCTATAATGCTGAAAACGCTTCTCAGTATCATGGACAACCCCTCTCACCCCATGCACGCCTCCATAATCAGAGCACACACTCATTGCCTGCAAATGCAGAACCAAACGCCACAGGAAATCCTTTCGACCTGTGGCAATAAGACTGTAGAACTCTTCCCCTTTCTGTAGGTAATCTTTCTCAGCATTTATGTTAATAGGTTCTCATTCAGATTGTACAATATTACTCACCTGCTTTTTATTTACTCACCTGTACGTTATTGAATTCTTGTTTCATCCCCTCATCACATGCGGCTATCTCATTTTATTCATGGCACAAACACTAAGTCACTTTTCATAATGTTGGAGTCAGATCTCCGCCGGAGTCCGTTGATGAGAAGAGATTCACTGCACAGTCGAGGAGTGGTTGCAGGTCACCAGTTTATTCTGATTAATCAGGGAGCAACGATCTGACATATATTCAGCATGTACAGGAAGATGCTCGAACCATAGGTGTCGGCTCTAGGTCTTTATAGGCCTTTTGGGGTGTGGCCCCCCTTTTCTGTACTTTTCCACCTACGTGACTACCACAGATTTTGACTTTTGCTCTAGTTAGTGTGTGTGCCTGTCCCCAGAAAAGAGTAAAAAAAGTGTCAGCTACATGATCGGTTCCAGTTTTCTTACTGTCGGGAACAAGGTCCTCCTGACCTGCTCGGTTCCTGTTCTTTTTCTGTCGGGAAGAATTATTAGTTGCATTCTTAAATGATTAACCCCTCAATCTATTTAGGACGAGGTCATCTTGACTTGTTTTCTTGTCTACCAGTTCCCGTTTTTAGTGTCTGCATTATATTAGACACTGTGTTATTAAACATTAGTAAGTTAATATTTGGATTATAGTGAAACTACCCCTTCATTATTGTCTAATGCACCCCTCAATAACCACTCGCACTAATAATCTATTTTATTATATCTGTTATAGTTATTTGTTACCTTGTTAGAGTTATTTTGTTATTCTGTTTGCACTATTACTACTGTTCTTTACTGTCATGTTTATTCCTCTTAATTGTTGCACTGAGCATGTTTATGACAAAAGATTTTCCCTCGGGGTAAATAAAGGTATCTTATCTTATCTTGTCTTGGATTCAACAAATGGATTCAACAAAGTGTCAAAAATATCTTTCAAGTAAATCAGTCACTTCTTGCGACTGAAAGCGACTGTATTTGCACAGACGAGCATTGTCAAGAAGAAAAGCATTACTGTAGCGTTTTAATGAAAAAGTTACCGTCACATTTGTGACGAATTACAGAAGGTTGTGAATGATAACGTAAGGTTCGATTGTAAAATGGCATAATAAACAACTAATTTGAGTTTTTTTAGTCGGCTTAGGGCAAGAAAATGAATTTACAGCGAGCGGTCGCTTCTGCTGCGCTGGAGAAGCGACTTTTCCTTTAAATACAGCGATGACATCAGGGGAGACAATCCGTGGCAGGGGGGCAGTTTAGAGCACAACACCTGTATCCGACATTGATATAAAAAAAAACAAAAAAAACAATATTTTGTAATGTAGTTACATTGACACAGTGTCTATGTTAAATCCAGTCCTCCATCGCTTGGGGCGCTAAAGAAAACGACGGACCATCGGCTGACAGCTTTTCTGGCCGCCTGTGTGGCTGGGCGTGGTGGGCTTTCTGTTTGTAACGGGGTGTAGGATTGCTGTGTTTGTACTGTATATGCATTTTCATTTTCCTGCTGTGTCGAGCATCTCTGTTTTCTTATATATTATTTTAGACAGCTTTTTTTGCGCCGATGCGTTTACTTACTCCAGTAGTTGCCAGGTAGTTAGCCCTGGTTGAGCGCGCGCTGGGGATTACGAGGTAGGTGTTGCATTCTCGCGGTGACACTAAAACCACCAGAAGTTCACGTTATCTAGGCTTTAATGAGTTTATGCTCGTTTATTTGAAGGCCTCGTAGCTAACTAGATTAGCTATTTCTTGCTTAGAAACTGCCGAAAGCACCCTTGTTTTTTTATTACTATGTAAGTCCATTTTCAAATTATTTGACTTCGGATGTTATTCTGTTATTTTTACTACAGGGGCGCTATTCAGAGAAATCCTTACCAAATGGCGATATACTGACTAAAAATTTGTCTGATTTGCACTGGTGTCATCTGAGATCGCCGAAATCATGTCACTATACGATGACTTGGGCGTAGAAACCAGTGACACTAAGACTGAAGGCTGGTCCAAGAACTTCAAGCTGCTGCAGTCCCAGCTGCAGGTGAAGAAGGCCGCCCTCACGCAAGCTAAGGTACGGTGTCGGGTACGTTCTCTTCCTACCCATCATTGTTATAGTTCGCTAACAGTATTATTCCAGCTTTTGTAGCATTCAGAATGTATAACCTTTGTCATAAGTATACGATCCTGTGAATTTGAGTGAAACCTGTTTTAGTTCTTGTGTTCAACTGTAATTCTTAATGGACTTGTTTGGTTTATGCCACTGTTTTTTACTAAAATGCATTCACAATACTTAGAAAAATCTGTAATTATAAATCATATCATATGGGTAAAAATAAAAGTTAATGTTAAGATTATATATATATATATATATATATATATATATATATATATATATATATATAT